TTCTGTGAGGGCACTTTCACTTGCTGCTGGTAGCACTCGCTCACCCTCCACTTCCGACTGCGAGTTCAGTGAAGTGCCTGCAGTGAACTCGTGCAAAGCTCATTTGCCCGCCTCATTGTGTTCAGTAATGAGTGGAGCAGGCAGGCAGCAGCGCATCGACTAGCTGTTATTGGCCTCTTCTCGGTAATGATAAAGTCATTGAGTGCTCCCTTCTGACAAGTGGATAGCTTGTTTGCGCCCAGAGTCTGTTCTCTTTTCCCATTCATTTATGACCGTAGGCGCACAGCCATTTAATTCTCGTTTGACCTGTTGATTCGTAGTGCTTTTGCCAATAGATACAGTGCCTTAATTAAATATAAAAACTGCTTTCGCCGTCTTTGTGGTAGCAGCAGCAGAGTCAGCAGTATACAAGTGCTATCTAATCGCTGCACCGCCTCATATAAAATGTGCTCTTGATTGCTCTTTAGTGTGCCTGGTGACCGCCAGCACAGGGTCTGCTCGCTTCAGGCAGCAGTGGTGACGGTCTTGCTGGCAGGCACTGGCACTTACCTGCACCTCTACACTCTTTCACCACCAGTGGCTGCAAAGGAAAGGGGTTGCAGCACATTTAGCAGCACATTCCAACTCTTCCAACTCTTCTCTCTCGCTCCTTCCTAATCTGCCCTCGTCACCACATTTGGCCCGCCACTGGAGACTTGCCTTATTATGACAAAGGCAACATTTATTAATGATGAAGCTCAGGCAGTGAGCAGTGCCCAGTGCTCAGGGACAATTGCAGCACAGTGGTCAGTGGTGGCCGCAGTGGACTGCACCACACTGTGCCCCACTCTGTCCGTCTACCTGGCAGGCTGTCACTGCGCGTTGTTCCTACGTTGCCAACCAGTGCAAAGTGGCACCGAAGTGGCACTGGCTGACAGTGCCAGTGCAAAGCGTTTCGTTGCCCTTTGACAGGCCCGACTCGGCCAACACGCATAGCTCGCTAATGATTTCTAAACATTGCGGTTGGTCCCCGTGTGCTCCTGCCACTTTCCTCCTTTTCTTCTTACCATACCTTACCTTACCTTCTAAGCTTGGTCCCTTTAATCGGAAGTCTCACTCAAGTCGACGCTTGCCAAGCTCAACTCGTCGAGCTGGCTTTCCCCTTCTTGCGCCTGTCGCACACAATAGAGTGGCCCAGTGGCACAATAGAATGGCCATTCCACCGGTCTCTGAGCTTCCTTGAGGCCCTTTGGCTAGACATAAATTAAGCCCTTACTGCCCAGAGTCTTGTCTGTTTGATTTATGCTCGCTACATTACCCTTTCCTCTTTGACTCTAACCTGAGCTAATTGCTAATTACGGCCTGCAATTGATAAGGAGACCATTGCTCACTTACACTGTTGACTCTTGTTACACGGACACTTGTCCTCACAGCTCAATAGGCTTGTCTTCCTAATCGTAAGCAAACTAATTTGCTGATAAAAGCAGGCCAAGTGTGCTCCACTCTCTACATGACCATTATGTGTACATGTGAGTGTATGTGTGTGTGTGTGTTTGTGCTGTCAGTGGCCACCGTGTTGCTGAGCACCTCTGCTCACCGCAGATCACTGCAGCACAGAATGCCGCTGCTAATCATCCTCAAATTAGCATCTGCAGAGGCACTGTTGACTGCACTCTGCTACCCAATCACTGCCCAACAATGTAATCATCCTTTCTTTAGTTCATTCTTTTAATTGTCTTTTTTCCCTCTTCTCAATTAGGCTCGAGTTTCCTGTGGTCCACTGGAACGAAGCCACCACGGTGGCAAGGAAAGCAGTTCACCGCCCAGCAATGAGCAGCAGTACCAAACAACCTATTCTGAAAGTCTATTTGTGTCCATTGAATCAATGGCCCACTCATGGAATAGTCAAAAAGACATTTTTGACCAGTAAGTTACATTTTTGAAACCTTTACCAAAAGAACTTGAACTAACTATTTATCTCCGTTCACAGGCTAAAGCAATCGTTCTGCGCTGGCACTCCTGAACATGGATGTCCTGAAATTCACCCTAGGTAAGGAAATTATTTTTTCTAATCAATCAATCAATACTAACATACTGCTAACTTTACAGTGCTTCGGCTATTCCAGTAGCACAACCTCTGGTTAACAAGTCCTACGTTTCCGATGAGTTTTTCGAATCCCTTCGTCAGTATCACTCAACAGTGAACATCATTCACGTAAATCGTCTCAACTCAAAGTTGAACAGCACACTTTACACGTGGAACGATGATAACAGCAGCAGTTCAGACGACACACTGCTGGCTGACGGCAGTGGAAGTGGTGACACTGAGCCAGAAGACGAAGAGGAGTCTTCTGGGGATGCACCCATCGACGAACATTCGAGTACATCCAGTACATCATCCACTACCACTGACGATATTAACTTTATTGGCGAATTTACAAGTCCAAAGCCAAATCCTGGCCCAAGAGATGATGGAAAGGGCTCTGCAGGATCGCTGATAGCCTCAAATCTTCTCATCCTGGTGGCAGTGATGCTGCAGTGTCTCAGGCATCACTGTTGATGAGGAACAACAACAAATAACCACTGTGATAACAAATAGCTGTGTTTTAACTATTGTAAATGTCTCACTGTACATATATGTTCTGTAAATAAATATGATTTTATACATTTTCCCCAAACTCATACACTTTGTCTCCTGTGCAACAGCTCTCAGACTGGTGCAGTGGTATTAAATGCACTGGTGCTGATGTTTGTACTGTTTGTGCATCGCGTGGTGAATGAGTAGACGAAACCGATTCCCAAGTAGTGCACTGCTTATTGTGACCAATCAATAAGATAAGATAAGAGGCACACCGAACTGTCCGCTTGAAGAGCCTATCAGCCGTGTCTAAAATGTGCCCAACTAATGATTGCTGCGGATGCTACGCTCTTATCGAGAGCATCGGAATATGAACAAACAGTGCTGTACTTGCACAACGTTCAGGCACAACGTTGGCTCATCTAATGCTTGCCAATCTTACGTCATTTTATCAACGATTACTTGCAGCTCGGCTGAGGCATGTTTATAACGAAATGCAACAGCTCTGCCGTTGAATACTTCTGCCTCGACCACCACCGTCGACTGACTTCAACACCACCACCACCACTTGCCCGGAGCAGTTCAATTTCATTCGAAGCATTTTCGATGATAGTGCCCACCATGCAGCGAATCGACAGCAACTCGCCCGAACTGTCCAACCAGCGCAGCGTCATTGCCAAGAGCGTCAGCAACCAGGTCGTGCCCGTGACGGTCCTCTACGAGCACGAACCAGAGCAGCCCCAGCTGGTGAAGGGGCCCAGCTGTTCGCCGGTGCAGTACCCGATCATCGACACGGTGACGCCTGGCTCCTCTGCGTCGCCTGCTCACTCCCCCTCACTGGCCACCACCCCACCGCTGTTCCTTCTGTCGGCCAACTCGTCGCCAGTGCACTCTTCGATGCCTGCCAACGGCTCCAGCTTCGACTACTACGGATACGAGCTGCTGAAGGGAAAGAGAAAACCCATCCCAGTGCCCAGCGAAAGCAAGGACGATGCCTACTGGGAAAGGCGAAGACGAAATAACCTCTCCGGTAAGTTAACTGTACCCATCATCTCAGTCAGCAATATCCTAACCTCATCTCATCCCTGTTCCCTGCAGCCAAAATGTCCCGTGAGCATCGGCGATTCCGAGAGGTGCAGACAAACAAGCGCATCATGTACCTGGAACAGGAGAACGTCAAGCTGCAAACCGAAGTTGGCTTCCTTCGCGAAGAGCTCAAGCGACTCCGTGAGAATGAACTCCTGCCCTACCTGGTGAGACGGTACAAGTGACACACCTCAACATTGTCTGTTTGTGTGTGTGTTCAGGCATTTTCTCAAGAACTGGTTGTTTGTAGCATTCCCTCACTTTCTCACCTTTTCCCCTTTCTTTGATGACCAACATACAAGTGGTATTATTTTCATTGTTTTAATCATTGTTCCAAATTAAAATGTTCATGTTTCACTGATATTTTTTGTTGTTGTGATATTTTTTTCAAGCTATTATAACTGACATAAACATCCATCAATGTAATAATTAATTAATGTAATAATATAATAATAAAAAGGATGTATTAAAAAAGAACACATAAAAACGACATTCTTTGATGATTCTCTTTGAAGGTTGTACAACACGCCAGGTCGTCGGGGTTGTGTGTTTAATGGTTAAAGGAGAGTGGTGGCTGGTTGAAATATTAAAAGTGTGGGAGGATACGCGCATTTCGGTCAGTTGATTTAGTTGATTTATTATAACTGGTGTGACCAATATTTGCATGCAATCATCGCAAATGGCGCGCGCGCGTCTTGATTGAATAAAGTGGAGCGCTCNCAGTTGATTTAGTTGATTTATTATAACTGGTGTGACCAATATTTGCATGCAATCATCGCAAATGGCGCGCGCGCGTCTTGATTGAATAAAGTGGAGCGCTCACAAGATGATGCACTTCTTTCTGCGCTTCTTCTTCGACTGCAAAGCTGCGCGAGTGGCCACCTCAAACACTTCTCTGACGCCGTCTTTGGTTTTAGCACTGCACTCCAGGTAGCCGAAAGCGTTGATCTTCTCAGCCATTGCCTTGCCTAACAGGTAGAAAATGGTGCATCAGTTAGAGATTTGTTGCTCAGACAGTTTTGGACAGTTTGGTTCAACTTACCTTCTTCGGTTGAGACAGTCTTGATTTTTGACTTTATTGTGTATGGATCATTTCGCAAATCCTGCAGGTGATTAGGGTAAAAGTAGGTAAAACATGAGTTGTGAGTAAAGCATTTTTTCAACAAGTTGATCAAGTAGTCAAACTAACCTTCTTATTTCCAACCAAGATCACTGGCACATTGGGGCAAAAGTGGCGAACCTCTGGAGACCATTTTTCAGGGATGTTTTCAAGCGAGTCCGGACTATCAATGCTGAAGCACATCAGGATGACGTCAGTGTCCGGATAGGACAGAGGTCGAAGACGATCATAGTCCTCTTGACCGGCAGTATCCCAGAGTGCCAACTCGACCTGGAAAGGGGGTGAGAGAAAGAGAGGCGTAAGGAAAGGCAGGCAGAGGTGCAAGTGGAGAGATGCAAGGCGCCACCGCCCAGTGCAATATGTTACCTGTTTGCCGTCGACTTCAATGTCGGCTACATAGTTTTCAAAGACGGTCGGCACGTAGAACTCGGGGAACTGGTCCTTGCTGAAGACGATCAGCAGGCACGTCTTACCACAGGCACCATCGCCCACGATGACCAACTTCTTGCGTATGGAAGCCATGATCGGGTGTTGATTTGGATCAGAAATGCTAGAGTCGATGTTCTTGTTGCCAGATCAAGACTGTTGGTTTGTGAGCACTCACTCTCTCACACACACTGCTGCTGCGGCTGATGCCTGTCTGAGCGCCGACTCACTTAACTGTCGACAGTTGAAGGTGGAGCTAGCACTCTTCCCACAACCACCGCGCGGAAACTTTCCAAAAGCAGGAACACTCACGGCAAACACTAAAGAGAGGGGACTGAGATTGACTCAGGGTCTGATTTAGCAGGCAATTGATAAGACAGATGATGACTGCTTCAGTTCGAGATTACGACCACTGTTCAGGTTCACCAGTTTCACAGAGAATGGCAGGCAGACACTGTCTCTCAACGACAAATGAAGCAATTTTGGTCACGGCCACCACTGGCTTGTGTTAGCACCAGCACCGGCGCATCTCCTCACTACGCTCTCTATTTAATTTAAATTAAAAATCCCCCTTTATGCCTGGCGGTNTGGAGCTAGCACTCTTCCCACAACCACCGCGCGGAAACTTTCCAAAAGCACTCACGGCAAACACTAAAGAGAGGGGACTGAGATTGACTCAGGGTCTGATTTAGCAGGCAATTGATAAGACAGATGATGACTGCTTCAGTTCGAGATTACGACCACTGTTCAGGTTCACCAGTTTCACAGAGAATGGCAGGCAGACACTGTCTCTCAACGACAAATGAAGCAATTTTGGTCACGGCCACCACTGGCTTGTGTTAGCACCAGCACCGGCGCATCTCCTCACTACGCTCTCTATTTAATTTAAATTAAAAATCCCCCTTTATGCCTGGCGGTGAAGAAAGAGAGCCAGCCAGACCTTTGATGGCGAATTGATGCTGGTAGGAAAGGCTAACCAGACGGCGGCGAACCAATCGGCGCGCCCGAGTGGCTTCGTAGTGGAGGCAGTGCAGTGATGCGCCCTCATCGATATTCCAATGTAAGCATCTCAAAGATGCTTACACTGGGCAAACCTATTAGCTGTGATTAGGTGTGAGTCAGTGAGTGTGAGCCTGTGAATCACCGCTTGATTTGACTCAGGTTGCTCTTCTCTTTTCTCATTAAACACTGTCACATCGGCACTGTCGGCGGCATTAGTCACCCTTACTGCCCTATTGACCTTTTTACCTAGACTTTTAGCCTCAAAGTAGCAGCAGCAGATTCGTATCAAATCTACCATTTGCTGTGGGCGATTCGGGAAGCAAAAGCCAAAAGTCAGCGAAACAGTAGGAGCGGATTCTGGAGAAGAGAACTGCAGCCTGCAGGCTATAAATAGATCAACACAAGGTCTTACTGCTTCTGCTGCTTTTCAGTCATGCGGGCGCCTCGCCGGACGACTCAACAGTGCAGCTGTGTTCTGCAGATTCAATCAACAGTGACTGCTACTGCCGGTGCCTGCCAAGTGATGCTCACCCGATGAGGGGTACATGAGAGCGAGAGTGAGAGTGTCTGTCTGTGCCTCCGTGTCCGTAGCTGCCAACAACTGGCGGTTATTCGCACTGTGTGCCCTGCCAGTCAGTGTATCCCAGTGGATCAGGGCGTGTGCAGCTCTCTCGAAGGCAGCAGTCGCCAGTGTGCCAATTGCGATCGCTCAATAGTTCCCAGTGGTGTGTGTGTGTATATGTTTGCCGGCAATGTCTCTTCTGCTGCAGCTTCTGTGATTCGCCGTGTTGGGCACCTCATCTGCGCTCCCGGGCGCTCCAATCGTGTGGATTCAACAAATGGATCCAACGGAGATCCGCCGTGCCACTCGTGCCGTCAAATGCGTAGTCGTAGGTGATGGCACCGTGGGCAAAACCTGTCTACTCATATCATACACGGTAATTATAACGAGGAAACACTTTTAATTTCACAGTATGACACCAGTGCCTTTTACCGTTATTCCGCACAGACTGATTCATTTCCTGAAGAATATGTGCCAACTGTGTAAGTTGTCTGCTGAAAAGTAGTAAAGAGAAAGTGTTCTATAATTTATATTTCATTTTTGCCAGCTTTGACAACTACTCATCTATTATCACGTGTGATGGAGAAACAGTGTCGCTCGGGTTGTGGGACACAGCAGGACAAGAAGGTCTCTTACCTATTTTTGTCTGTTTTATGTTATAACAACTGTTTTTTCAATTTAAAGATTACGACAGACTAAGACCACTGTCCTATCCTCAGGTTCGAATATTCTTAAAGCACGTTGATGCAAAGCCTTCTTAACATGGCAATCTGTTTTTTACTTTACAGACTGACGTTTTCTTGATCTGCTTTTCCGTCGTCTCCCCATCATCAGTAAGTAGTTCAAGGGTGATTTTCCATGTTCTAGCTGCTAATTCAGTTGTTTTTCAGTTTGAAAATGTTCTAGTAAAATGGGCACCGGAAGTTCGTCATCACTGCAGTGATGCTTCAATCATACTTGTTGGTACAAAAGCGGATCTCCGTGATGATAAGGATCAGCTCTATCAGCTGGCCAAAATTGGACAATATCCAGTGAAGAAAGAAGCCGCCGAAAGGATGGCAAAAAAGATTCATGCTTTAAAGTACATAGAGTCATCAGCGCTCACACAAGTCAATGTGAAAAAGGTAATCGACTTCCAGAGCACACACTATGCTCAATACCTTTGCCAACTAAAAAGGTCTCACTTCCATTTCAGGTATTTGAAGAAGTAGTGCGAAGTGTCTTTCAGAAGCAGAAACCAATCTTGAAAGAGAATAACAAATGCCAACTGATGTAAACTATTACTCGCCTTGGACCTGTGACAATCTCATACTCCCTTACTCAGAGACAATTTCCTAAGTGCACACGCATACTGTCCCCCAGTCAATCGCCAAGAGTATTATCATTTATACTGTACATATTTTGTATCCAATTCAATAAAAAAGACTACATTTTGAAAAATCAGTTTTTGACGTAAATCACATTTCGCCCGTTTAGAGGCTGAACTGGTCTAAAGTTCTCTTCTACATTTGCCTCGTACTTGTCTTCCAGGCCTTCTATCTCATTTCGTGGGTAGTAGAGTAACTGGCGAAAGGCATTGATCTGTTAAGAAAACAAAAGGTATGAATGGCTGATAGAAAAGTGCTGCAAAGTTGCGGCTACAACTATGATTTTCTCACCTGCTCTTGTCGACACTTTACTGGATTCTCAAAAACAATCCAAGTAACAGTTTCCCAAAGAGGGGGAGTAGTGAGTGAACCCAGGTAGGTGTAATAGGAACGATTTTCTGGCAACAACTCGAGAATGTTCAGTGGCTTCTCAATGGAACGTACAGGTGATCCTTTGTACTTAATTTTGGTCATCATATTGCAAATTGTTTCAAGAGATTCTAGTTTGGCACAGTTTTCCCCGTCGACTGCATCGAGCAGCACCGCAACTACTGCAAGCCCATCCTTGTTAATCGCAGCTTCTCGAGCGGAGCTAAACTTTTCACAGTTCCAGTGAACAAAATGAAGCTATAAAAAGTTACTTTTTAGTATTACAAAAAGTAGCGAAAAATGATAACTAACCTCAGCAGAGTAGTGTTTATTGTTGATTACATGTTCAGAACCGCAAGAGCAGTTTTTGCCCCAGTGTGCATGGAATTGGATCAACTTATAGCGGTGATTTAATGGTCCACCTTGAAGTACTGCAATTTCAATAGGTACAAGTTAGCAATTTTACAAAATGACAATATTGATCTGTACCTGTTTTATCACCATAATCGTAGGGTACATCAACCCTCCAACCAAAATAAGAATGATCTTTGGGATTTCGAATATTGAGGTCACAGAATGAAGGTGGATAAGAGAGTACTAGTTCAGGAGAGAACATCATCTGCTTGCTATTTAGAATGCACTTTTCAGAAAGAATGTTGATCGGCGACTGACGCCGGCCAACCAAGGAAATAGGGTAATCTTCATACCAAAATGCCGGATCTAGATAGAAAATTATTGTAAAAAATAAAACCCAGACCACTGTGACTACATACGTGAAATATCTGGTCTCCGTTGTTTACATCGTTTTGGGGACAACAAGTTGTACTGTTTCAATCCGGAGAGAATTGAACGCCGCGCAAGGGGAATGACTTGTAACATGAGGAATCAGGAGAATGGTCTCACAGTGGAAAATCAATAGAAAAAAACTGAGGAAACAGATGAAGGTCCGGTGAAGGTGGCAATAAAAAGTACTTTTGGTTTAAATTACAGTTTAAATTGAATGTTTGGTTTTCTGAACAAGATGCCTATCCTGCTAAGGTCCGTACAGGTGACGAAACATTGTGACACTTTGTGGTGAGTATCAGTTGTTCGCTTCAATCAGCATGACTAGAAACCTTGCCCATAACTCAGGTGATATTGATCAGTATGACTTAGACACTTAAACACAAAGTAACAGTCGTCCGATGAGTACGCTCGAGTGGGCTCTAACTGAGTACTGTACGCTCTGTACAACTTCCTTCAGCTACATCTCGGCGGCCTTGAACGACTGATGATGCTGATAGTTTGCATCATCTTGTACATGTGCGCCTAAATCACTGTCCACCAAATATTTATTTTTGTCTCTAGCATCACAACATTGAGTCTGGTAGCATCTCTCTCTAGATGGCACTCTTTCTGAAGATTCGACGCGCAAAAGTTTTAAATATTTTTAAAAACGAGGAACAACTGGCAAGTGAGAAAGTGCTCTATTCCAGTAAAGTGCACGAGGAAGACCACACTGCAAAGACCAAAGAAAGATCGAACTCGCTTATTAGAGGCGTGATGGTGCATTTGCCACAGGCTTTCATTGAAGCAACTGGATCGAGTTCATTAGAAAGGATAGAGGAAGGGAGAAACGTTGCTGGAACAGCACCGCTGCAACCTGCAACCTTTGCATTGATCTGTCGAATGGCAATTAGCGAATCAGAAAGAACGAGAGAGAAAGCAGCAGGCAGCAACGGCATCTTGAAGACGGCCGACTGACGGCTGCACTGCCAGTGACTTGCGCTTGTCCATTTTTGTCTATCCTACTTTCGAGCTGCTAACACCTGTTGGCTGCAATCTGCCGTGTGGAAGCGAGCCAAATTGAACCGATCCTATTGGTGATTGAATTGAACGGACAGCACTCCCGTGCTCATCGAATGCTGCACTTTCACCCAGCGCTGTTGATCAAACACACTGTCCAGCAATAAAAACATACTTGCAGTGTTGACTAGTGTTGCTTGATATCATTTAAAGAGTGCACCGTTACTTCTTCATTCCTTCGGTGGTCAATCGCGTTCGTCCAGTGACGTGCCTCAGTGTTGTGTGTGTGTGTGACAGCGGTGTGTCTTCTGCCTCCGTCTGCGTCTTCTGTTTGGTTCGTTGCTGTTCAACTGTACACTGATGNCCGTTACTTCTTCATTCCTTCGGTGGTCAATCGCGTTCGTCCAGTGACGTGCCTCAGTGTTGTGTGTGTGTGTGTGACAGCGGTGTGTCTTCTGCCTCCGTCTGCGTCTTCTGTTTGGTTCGTTGCTGTTCGACTGCTGGAAGCAAGTCGTGAAACAAGCTGCCAGCCAGTCAGCCACGTAATGGATTAATTAAGATGGCGTGATCGCGCGCGACCTGTCCATTGTTCGAGCGTACATTTGGCTACTTGCACCTGTTGTCCCGATCGGAGTGCTATCTAAATGGACGCAATTAGCAAGGCACACTTCGAGTGTGGTGGAGTCTGTGCGTCTGGCCATGTACGTGCGCGTACGTAGTGTCTGCCTGTCTGTCTCTGTTTGTCTTGCCACTTTGCTTCATGCCTCCGTCCAAGTGATACCGTGAACCCGACTGACTCCACTGACCTGCCGTCCAGCCACCAGGGCCACCATGGCCCGTCGCTCCTCGGAGGCGCCTCACCGACATACTGTGCCCAACTCTAGCTATGCTTCCTTTCCCTGCTTCCAAGAGGAGCTGAAGTTGAAAACGAATCTTCTTAAGTGTGACACAGCTGCGAATGGAACACCTGAAAGTGCGCATGAAAACTTTCAGGTGAACGTTAGCATGCACGATAAGCTGAAGATGTGCTTCGCAGAGATGGAAACAATGAAGGACCAGTTTGAAGCGAAACGCAGCAAAGTTACCAGAAAAAGGCTGAAAAAGGAACGCTCTGATACGTCTGATACTGCACAAAGCAAACCTAGGCCCAGCTCCAGTATGGCTGCAGAAGATTCAAATAGATCTACAATAAAAGAAACTCGCACTAAACTGCCATTTGATACAGTAAAAAATTTGATTATTTTCTGATAAACTTGATTTTTTCATGCCTGATGTTTAATTTAGGAAAAGCCTAGCACACTGCCGTCAGTTGAGGAAAACAAGTTCAAGGCCCACTTAATTCGAACCAACTCTAAAGACTCCATGGACGGTACAGAAAGAGGTATGCATTAGGCATGCAAGCAATTTATCTAACAACTTCAATCAATTGCAGACATGGGCAAGTCATTCGAAGTGCTCAGTCACTCACCTGCTTATGATGAGACGTACATTAGCCCTACCGCTCGACCACTGCCACCAGTAGGAATGATGCCTACTGGAGTAAACCTGAACAGCAACCGAAGAACAGTGTCTGATCCATTTGGCGACTTGGGAGGACTTGCCAGCAGAACCAGGGCTGAACGAATGGGAGACACCCTCGCTCAGAGCGGTGGTCAGTCGGCATTTGGAGGTGGTAAGTGGAAAGTGATTGTTGGTTCACGCGTTCATGTGATGCATTCTCTCTGTGTAGCACGCCATTCTTTTGAACCTTTCACTAACTCGCCATTTAACTGGCGCGCTGCAGTTGAGAAAACTAGGTTAGTCAATTACTATTACCACTTAATGAACAGGGCCAGTCTGGTGACCAACTAACTCTTTGCCTGTTAGCTATGATGACCTGGCACAATCTAAAAGTGCGGAAACTAGAAGAAGTTATGATGAATGGCTGCAAAAACTGGATGAAGTTAACGACATTTCCCGGTCAACACAGAAAAGGATTCGCAATCTTGAGAAAGAGGTGATCAACCTTCGGACAAACACTGATAACCTCCTTCAGGTATTTTCAAAAAGATGCAATGTGTGAAGCACATGTAATCTCACGCTAATACTCATTACCAGAAACCTACAAAGCACTTTACCTCACGTATTCCAGTCACAACGGCTGCGGCTGCTTCAGGGCAGCCATTATTCACTGCGTACCACTCTGCTAGCCAGTGCAAAAAGTTTACAGACAAGTGCACCAACACAGATATTGATCTCAAGTGAGCACTTTCGGATATGTTTGTGTTGCCTAATTTAATCAAATTAATGTTTAGCTTTATGAATGAACTTTTGAACAATTGGAAATCAAAGTCAAATCAGCAGTTGGATGGCGAGGAAAACAATGAGCTCAGACGAAGAAGACGAATGACAACTACAATTGGGCGTTCAATTGAAATACAAACTGAACAAAAAATCTGTCAGGAGAAGGGAATTTCGACTGATGGTAATTTCTAAATCATTCTTTTCCTAACTTTGTTTACAAGATATTTTACTGCTTGTTATTTCAGATTGGATACCACCGAGTAGTACTAAACAGTTCAACTCTGAGAAGAGTTACATTTACAATCAAGCACTGTCAACCAGCAAAGATGCACCAAAACCATCAACCAGTCAGATGTCAATTTTAGACATGCCGAACATTGAAGGAGAACAAACATTGCATTACTTTGACCCACAAGTGACGGCAGGAAAAATTAGCACTGAACCTGTAATCGAAATGTATGACTCAGACACCAGTTTTGATGCAGCTGATCAAACCAACTTTGAAAAAAATATGGAGTTTATATACAGTCAAATTAGCAGGCGAGCTTTAAATCAGAGCCGATTAATGACAAGAAAAGAAGTTTCTGTGCAAAATGAATATAATAACTTGAAGGTAATTCTTAAAAGTAATTCATTTTAAAACTGATTTTCTTTTTGTGCAGTACCGCCCCCTTCGCAACTCATCAACGCAAACTTCAACTGAACGCGAACGACCAAAACAGTTGCTGAAAGAGGCGACAACTTCAAAAGCTGAGAAAGCAGAGGCGAAAAATCAACCTCACATGGTATTACCAAAAAAATTACATTCTTCTTCAAAAATTATCATCGAAAGAGTGAGAATGAATCAGAAGGAGAAGAATGAAATTCAAATTGAAACTGACATTGACAATAATAAAGGCACCGTTCATCGAACAACCCAAGTAAAAAATCAAAAGTATAGAAAACCAAAGGAANAGTTCATCGAACAACCCAAGTAAAAAATCAAAAGTATAGAAGACCAAAGGAGACGTCGACAACCACCGCAGCTACCTCTCATAATGTGCCTTCATTTAAGTCAACCACCAACTCGCAGCCCGTTTCCAAGCACATGCGAAAAGTCAACTCTGATATGAACGTGTGCCACTCTCGCAGTATTATCTCTCGACCAGTTTCAGCCTTTGACCTGGCATCTAATAGCGATTTTGATAAGAAGAAAGAGGACAACTTTTTCAATGACAATAAAGCTCTCAGCTCTTCAATGATTGTGGAAAATCATGAGCGTTCAAGATTTTCTCAGCAGAAAAAAGAAATTTACGATGATATTATTCGAAAGAGTCCCAGCGAGGGCTACCATTCAAGCAACCGCATCGGTACACCATCTCAAGACTACCTGATTGAGCCACCTAAATCGTTTCAAAATATGAACAATAGTTACAGCGAACCGTCTTGGGAAGAGGTATCCAAGTCAGAAGTCACTAATAAAATGGTTAACGAAACAATGGATGCTTTCAAAGGTTATTTGAATTTAAACAATTTTTTTCAAAACTTTACAGCTATTCTTTTTTTCAG